TGTCAAGACCTCTTAAAGGCATCAATGGTTCTTAATAGACCGGTAAGCCGAGAAGAAGAAAAGGTGGCAAAGTTTAAGTTCAACTAGGTGTGAGTAAGCATTTAAGTTAATCCTGCTTATAATATGATTATTGTATATGTTTTTTAGAATAAAGTGTATAGCCTAATTATATAGGCATAGATCAAATGTACTTTAAATTAAATACATTTAATCTATGGTACAGGTCTATAGCCTTCAAGATCCTATAAATAATGTCAAAATTAAATAATATTTTTAGTTTGCAATTTTTTCACTGATTTTGTTTTATTGAGAAACCCAGTATACAAACTTCTTGTTTATTCCATTGTTGGTCATTATTTTTATTATACAATTTGGAAGAATTATCATGTCTTAAGTACATTTTGAAGTATTTTAATGTCTCAAACATCAATCTGTTTACACTTACAATCTCTTCAGTTACTCATGTTTTTTCCATGCACTGTTCATAATAATATAATTTATATAATTATATACATACTTACATGGTATTATAAAATTATACTTTTTAATACATATAAAAGAGGAAAATGGTTTCTATGATTATGAATAAAAAGTAAAAATCTTGTTAAAATATTTAATTAAAAAGTGTTTATTGTCGTAAAAAATTAAATATATATACAAACAATTAGTACATGATTTTTATACTTATATAATTTTTTATTAAATAATTGAAGCAAATATATCTTGATTATTAATATTTTTGCTTTGACATTCTGAATTCAGCGGTTTATTTATTATTTTCCTATCTAAACACAACCAGTTTTGTTTATCAACCTGTTTCCAAAGTGTTACAAAATAATTATCCATTGAAACAGCCAATATGTTTCCAAAACATGACCAACTTATTTTCTGTTTTTGTTTTTCAGTAGCATCAATCTCAGTTTGTGTCCAATCGCAACAATCATCACTTCCCCATATTACTACTCTACCGTCAGATGTACAGCTGGCAATTATATATTTTTGCAACCCAGGAGTTGGACACCAACTTACATCTTTAATAGTGGCCAACTGATTGTCTGTTTTATGTAGAACATTCCACGTACACTTTTGATACTGCCATATTTTAATCTTGCAATCATTTCCTCCACTGACTAATGACAAATGATTATTTATTAATTGAGATGACCAACTGATACTATTAACACCATTTATATGTGCGTTAGGAATTTTTGATACAGACCAATCTTCATTATTTTGAGTATGTATTGAAATAGTACCATCAGCACTAGAACAGGCAATTATAGCACCAGATTTATGGGGCGCCCAATCTATAGACGTAGTAGATGATTTATGTCCATCATATTTATAAACAATTTCCCATTCGTTAATTTTGTTAGTTTTATGTAGGATTAATTTACTATCAGATCCACATGAAGCTAAAAATCCATACTTCGGGTGGGAAAACTTAACTTGCCATACAGGGCCAACATGTTCTCGCAATTCTTTCGAAGAGCTTTGATTTGATTTAACAGTATCAATGATTTGAATAACTCCATCAGCAGAACTAGTACATACATATCTATCATAGTAATCAATGTCAGATGAAAGAATTTGTCGCTTATGCACACTCTCAAACGTAGTTTTTATGGATAACATGATATTGACACTGAATTAATTCTTTGATCGTATAATTATTCAAATTAATCAAAAAGCAATATTACACATCGACTTTAACGGTAAAATATTACATATTACAATTTCAGTACTTTTTATCTCTGTTATTAAGAAACTACGAATCGCACGATAATAAATTCTTAGGTTATACCATAGAGTAATAAAATAATGGATTTGTTAAAATATTGTCATATTCTGTGGTATAACCATCGAGGTATATAAACTATAGTTTATATACCTCAATGGGTATAACTAGGACCCTGTAAAAATAACCTCTACAGTGCTCATCGAACTCTATATGATAACTGCAATGCTCACCAGCAGTGTTGCCCGAGAGAGAATGTTAGAACACATACTAATGGAGTTACTTTGTCTTGCACATGGCGCTAATATATTTTACCCCGATATTATTTTAGTTTTGTTCTTAAAACTTTTAAGTTAAAAGTTAGGGTTTTAATTCATAACTCAAGCATATGAATTAACAACTTCATTTATAGTAAAATAATATTTATTAAAATAAAAACAAAGTGTTTATAATATTATTCATAATTAAAATAAAAGTGTACTGACGCAACTTACCTGAAGCGATTTCTACAACTTACCTTAGATTGTACTTACTATTTTCCTAACTTAAGTTTATATTTTAGATTTATAATTTAAAAAATATTAATACTCTAAACAAAACAACAGTAAAAAAAATGTTCAATAAATTTTTGTTATACTTGATCGCCAAAATGTCCTAAAATAAATATTTTTTTTAAAGATACTATGAGACATTGTAGATGCTGTAACTATATTCATAACCTTGGAGTTATATGATCTGTTATTTTAACTAATGTAACTTATGTTGGGTTGACTTCAGTCAGATATTTTTCCTTTAATAACAATAAATTTTTTTTATTATTTTTATTTTTTAAGAGATAATATACAATCTATACAAATATGCACAATAAGTATATGTGAAAAGAGAAGTTATACATGAATAGACTTGATTTAGAAATCACCCTATGGTAACCCTATAAACTTGAAAAGATTGGAGGGTGGGAGTAAGAAGGCAGGAAATTTATTAAGCGGTAGATAAGGTGCACATTTTTTTTTTTTAATTTAAGAGGTCTCTGCACCATCTTCTTTTTAGTCTCCTACGAGGATTTTCCGGGAGCGTTAAGGAATTTAGGCTTTGAATCAGTGGATTTTCGTGATTGTTTAGGCGTGAGAAGAATCGTTTGTAAAAGATTACAGATTCTTCTTCTATAGATTTCATACGAAGATCGTTATGAAGGGTAAGATTAGATATGTAGGGTTGGGCGTTTGTGATTTTTCTTAGTGTTATATTTTGATAGGCTTGAATTTTGTTTAGGTTCGTTTTTTTGGCTGTACCCCAAAACTGTAGTCCGTATGAGCAAATTGGATTTATCAGTGATTTGTATATTAATAATTCAGTTTTTAAACTTGAACATTTATTATTTGTAATTAAATTTTTAAGTGAACGGGAGCGAGAGTTTAAAATTAATAAATAATAATAAAAATAATTAATTAAATAAAGTAAATCTAAAAATTAAAAAAAAAATTAAGAAGCTCAATTAAGATTTAAAGATAATTTTTAAACAAATATCAAAAATCGATTTCCACATTAACCTAGAAAAAAGGTTGATCCACTCAAATCTTTTTACAGAATTTAATTATGATGATTTTAAGTATGCGTAATGTTGTCAGGCTTTTAGGTCTACAATGTGAAATAAATACGCTGCTTCCAACCGCCTTAATAATGTTATTTATATTATCTCATCTTTAGTGAAGTATACGGAGCATATACGGAGAAACTATTACTGATTACGAGTGATTAGGTATATTGAATAACGCACGAATGTAAAAAAAAAATAAAGTTAACCTTTAAAATAAATGTACTTAACATAAAAAAAAACTGCGTAAATATGCTATAAATAACAATTAAACTGCCAACATTTGTCAAATATGCATTTTGCACAGAAAACGGAAAAATATACGAAAATATGCAATTAAAATGTTTGTATTTCAATTTGTTATGACTTAAACCCATCGAGATGAAGAATACACTGGATCGCGTACTTGTAAACAGAAATTTTGCGGCGCTGATAATAATCATCTCCACCACCGTACGGCAAAAACTTTAATTTTATACATTTTGTAGTAACGTTTTATTGACTTTTTTTCGGTTTAATTAGTGATTTTTAATGTTATACGACCATATTTAAAATAGCGAATCAACTGTTTATTTCATTAGACTTGTTGATCATTTATTTGATATACTTAACTCCCGAATTCCTTTTTCCAAAGGGTTTAAAAGTCCAATAAGTTCTGGAAACATCAACACAATCAAAGTTATATTCGACGAAACGTCAAGTTATTTTAAAAGTTTAAAAATACAAGATGTTCCAATTATTTTAGGTGGTAGAAAAATGTATGTACTTGGTTTTATTATTACTATGGAAAGTACTTTAAATGTAGTATATAATTTACTAAATAAATATCAAAGCCCATTAAAATTTGTATTGATTTATAAAATGTCCCAAAATCATTTAGAACTTTTTTTTAGTTGCATATGTGCAAGAGGTGGCTCAAATAACAATCCAAATTTCAGTAAAATTCAAAAATAATCTTAGGCAGTTATTATTCACAAACAATATAACTGTTGAATCTGGAAATTTTTCAAACTTCAATTACTCTGAAGGTGTTTATTTCAATATCTTGTCATGTACTTTGTAGTTTTTTACTTGATCTTAATAAATAAATATAAAAATATGATTTATTTTATTGTTATTTCAATTTCCATTAAATAAGTACAAAAAAAATCATCTTTAAAACAATAAAAAAAGTGAAATATTTGTACATTTCCCGTGTACGGCATACGCACCAATATGTTTCTTGCCGTACGGTGGTGGGGATAGACGGACCGACCCGATCAACAAATTACGTTGAAGACGAGTCACGCGTCTGGCGCATGACAATATTTTACCCATGGAAGTCGAATTTTGAAAAATCGATATAAAATTAGATTATGAAACCTTTGTTTTTATATGATTATGAAACCTTTGTTTTTATATAAAAACTAATCGATACTAAATATCGTAACAATTATTTACGCAAAAAAAAAAAAAAAATTGCTCCACGTGGAGCTCCATGGATGATGAATTTTGTAGTTCCTATTGGCTGTAATTAATAGACAGATTATTATCTCTAACAATAACTATTTTAGATTTTATCATAGTTTATTTGTTATTTTCTTGGATATATGTATATAATATATTTATTTATAGATCAATGCTTTGAAAAATATCACACTATAAATAACTATTGGTTATAAATTATATATCACAATAGTTACTTTAGTATTATTTAAAATTGTAATAAATAAATTAATTTGTAAACTTTATTATTTATTTTTAATAAAGAAAATAAATATGAAGGTAAGATAATATTAAGTTTTAATTTTTACGTAAAAAATAGTGATCGGCTTTGTTTTTTGGTATTTTTGGTCATGTTTTGACGAGTGAAAAAAGTATCAAAAATAAAATAACGAAAATATTTTTTTTTTTTAAACAAAATTTAAGATTTAAAATATTTTATTTTCAAAAAATTATAAAAGTTTACTTGAACGTGGAAATGTAATAATTTAGTGAAAAGTGGTAAAAACTGCTCGTCCTTAGGGAAAAAATTGACCGTACATATTCCGTCTGCGTTGTATAAAGATACATCACGCGTCTCACGCGTGATTCGTCTCGATGTGTTAAATCGACGCCGCCCAACGGCTTGTTTTATTTATGTGTGTGAATATTAGGAGTACGTGCTCCAGTATATTCTTTATCTCGATGCTTAAAAAAAATATATATTTTTAATCTTATCTTTTTATTCTGCAACCATTATTAAGCAATACGCAAATGCAACATCCCAAACGTCCCAAACCCTAATTATAACACATAATATAACTTTTTAAACAAAGGTTACAAATAACTACAAAAATTCACCATAGTCTCACCATAAGTTTTAACTCTACAGTGCACACTATTTTAATTTTTTTTAGAACTTTGAAAACATATAACAAAACATTAATGGAAGCATGTTAATAAATTTTGTATACATATACATGTACATTATTTAGGTTATATTTGTATGTTATCAAATTTAAATATAATAATTAATATATTGAATTATATTATTTAGCATGTATTTAATATTCAAAGCAATATTATTAATATAAATAGTATTTATACTTAGGAAATTTGAATCGTATTAATTGAATAGTGTTACTGATAGTAATTCTGCATTTAACGGTAAAAAGCAACTTGAGACATTCTATAGAAACTTTGGAATTTATCCTCATTGATGGTTAATTAAAAACTGGTACAAGCCCGAGTGTGAAGGTTAGGTTAGGTTTACACGTTACCAGTCAGCGTACAAGTCAAAATCACCAGTAATTGAGTGCCAGAGACTGGCAACGTCTAAACATAATCTGCCAGCAACTGGAAAAAGCCAGTTGGCACTAACGTGCCAGCAAAACAAATATTTCTGTTTTGCTGGCGTGAAAGCTTCTCCCTCCACTACATCGCCACAACGAAAGCAGTTAACTGGCATAGTGTAAACACAACAGTCACGCGCCGACTACTGGATTATAACAGTAATATAATATTTTATTTATCAATGATAACAGTACATCGTACACGTATGTACGTGAAACTACTGAAACTGTGAAAAGTGAACTTCATAACTATATTAAAATATTATAAAACAATGTTTATAATTTATACAAGACGTGATAAGGTGTACACTACACCTCGGTACTCGAATTGATAAAACACTACAACCACTGGTTAGCACGGGCGTAACACGTTTCCACCAAAAGTAGATCTTTTCCTTTTCTACCAATACACGTTTGCACCAAAAGTGTATCTTTATCTTTTCCACCAATATCCGTTTCCACAAAATATTATAAAATACCTATACTTTTCATGAGTTTTACGGATTGATGTAAAATATATATATATAAATATGCACACAATATAATCAATGCATATTTTACATTTATTGTATTTAATTATATATTAAACCGTTGTCGTACTTTGCATGTACTTTTATGTCCATTAACCATTATAATATCTAAATAAATGA